CGTCACCCTAGCCACCCGCCGTTGCTCCTTCTACCATCACCATCCCCGGCGCCGTCCCTGCCGCCGTCGGCATATGCATCCCCGCCGTTGCCCGAGCTACCGTCGCAGTATGCACCCCTGCCGTCACCGCTGCCGCCATCACCTCTGCCACCGTCGCCAACCCCGCCATCGCCCTAGCAACCCGAAGTCACCCCTTCCACCATCACCGTCACCGCCGTCGCCCCTGCCACCGCTGCCAACCCCACCGGTGCCTGAGCCATCGTCACCAACCCTGCCGTCACCCTAGCCACCCGCCGTCGCCCCATCTACCATCACCATCCCCGGCGCCGGCCCTGCCGCCGTCGCCGTATGCATTCCCGCCGTTGCCCGAGCTGCCGTCGCCATCCCAGCCATCACCCAAAGCACCGTCGCCCCTGACGCCATCAACCCTGCCACCTTCGCCATCCCCGGCGTCACCCCTGCCACCTTCGCCATCCCCGCCGTCACCCCTGCCACCGTCACCATCCCCGCCGTCGGCCCTGCCACCGTCACCAAGCTCGCCATCGCCTTAGTACCCCGCCGTCTCCCCTTCCACCATCACCGTCACCGCCGTCGCCCCTGCCACCGCTGCCAACCCCACCGGTGCCTGAGCCATCGTCACCAACCCTGCCGTCACCCTAGCCACCCGACGTTGCTCCTTCTACCATCACCATCCCCGGCGCCGGCCCTGCCGCCGTAGCCGTATGCATCTCCGCCGTTGCCCGAGCTGCCGTCGCCATCCCCGCCGCCACCCTAAACACCGTCACCGCTGTCGCCATCACCTCTGCCACCGTCGCCAACCCCGCCATCGCCCTAGCAACCCGACGTCACCCCTTCCAACATCACCGTCACCGCCGTCGCCCCTCCAACAGCTGCCAACCCCACCGGTGCCTGAGCCATCGTCACCAACCCTGCCGTCACCCTAGCCACCCGCCGTTGCTCCTTCTACCATCACCATCCCCGGCGCCGTCCCTGCCGCCATCGGCATATGCATCCCCGCCGTTGCCCGAGCTACCGTCGCCATATGCATCCCTGCCATCACCGCTGCCGCCATCACCTCTGCCACCGTCGCCATCACCCACGACCATCGCCCCTGCCACCATCGCCAACCCAACCGTCACCCGAGCCAACGTCACGAAAACCGCCATCACCCCATCCACCGTCGCCATACCGCTCCACCGTCGTCATCCCTGCCTCCCCTGCCATCGTCACCAACCCCGCCATCGCCCTAGCCACCCGCCGTCGCCCCTTCACCGCCCCTTCCACCGCCGCCGTCGCCGTTGCCCGAGCAACCGTCGCCATCCCAGCCATCACCCAAAGCACCGTCGCCCCTGACGCCATCAACCCTGCCACCGTCGCCATCTCCGCCGTCACCCCTGCCACCGTCACTATCCCCGCCGTCGGCCCTGCCACCGTCACCATCCCCGCCTTCGCCCCTGCCACCGTCACCAACCCCGCCATCGCCCTAGCCACCCGCCGTCGCCCCTTCCAACATCACCGTCCCCGCCATCGCCCCTGCCGCCGTCGCCCCTGCCACCGTCACCCGAGCCACCATCACCGCCATCCCCGTCACCTCCCCACTACCGTCACCTAACCCTCGCTTGATCTCTCTACCCCCCACCCCCCTCTCCTGTCTTCCTCGCTCCTTCATTGTGCGTTCACGTAATCCGATGATGCAAAGGAGGATAGACATTTCTATATATATCCCTTATGGAATACGGTCTCACCTGTTAGGTTGTCGGGGCTCCACTGCATTTGTTTGGCCCTTCGGCGGACTCCACTCCATGTCCACCGCCACTGGAGACGGGGCGCCTACACTGACAGGGGGGACATAGCTTCTAGTCGCTGATGCTCTACATGTGACGCGTCTGCTAGTTTCGTTTATTGTACCTGTTTGATCGAGTTGGTTAGCTTGAGCCAACCAACTACCGAAGGGCCCGCCGCAACTGGAGCTTGTTGCTTCTGAGGAGATGCATCTGCATCATATTGGACGTCGCATAGTACCTGGCATAGTGTTGCAGCAATGTCTCACTACCTCCAGCGAGCCGCAGCCTCTTTTCCATTATGGACGCACTGCTGCCTGATGATATGATTATATGCGTGATACTTGCTATGAAATTGCGTCTGCAGGACGCGCACGAAATTTCAAATTGGGAGATCGCATACAGTCGGCCGTCGCAGCGGCAGGGATGCGACCGTATTCGTTTTGGCCGTCTGGCGTAATAATGGTACCTCAAATTAATACGCCAGGCGTATGGCGTATCAATACGCCGGGGTTCACGCCATGCCGTATTACAATACTCGTGGCGTATTCCTTTTGCGCTATTCCGTCATGGAATTCATGTTTTTCGCTTTTACAATGAAAGGCGTATTGCTTTAGTGTTTGGAAAACGATCTCTCACAAGATAAAATATGAATTTGGGCAACAGCCAGACCTGGACAGCCATCGAGCCATGTGCGCACACATTCGCGTCTGCATTCTAGCATTCCTAACAAACCGTGATTATCACAAATACTACAGCCCAAATAGAGATAGCTTGGGTGTCAGGCCAACACCACAGACGACAGACCACACCCCCCTAAAGCCTCCTCACTCCCCCACGGCGAACGACATCGCCTTCTGGCCAGGGTTGAGCTCCAGCGGCTGCTTGGTCCAGTCGAACCAGGGGAAAGTGGTCCGCAGCAATGCCTCAACCGTGCTCATTGATGAACTTGCACTTGCGAGCATAGCGCTTGGAGCTAGAGCTATAGTCACCGACTTCTTCGAAATAATCCAACACAGCACTAGGCTTAGGTCCCGGTTTAGCGCGTTTTGCTTCGCGCACGTTTTCCATTTCGCGGGTTGTTATTACAACAAGGTATGTTGCAAACCCAGTGATAAGCAAACCCTAAAACCTAATCCTAAGTATCAATTAATTACACCAATGACTCGGGAATGTCAATAGCTCGATATTTCTCAAAATCGGCGAGTTTTCAGACTGTACGACAACCCAACGACAAACAATACGCCAACAATACGCCAACAATACGCCAACGCATAAACAGCCCAACTGGCTGGCGTATTCGGCGTATTAATACGGGCGTATTAGCTGGCGTATTAATATGGAATACGGTCGCATCCCTGCGCAGCGGTAACTGGAGGGGCCATCTTTATTAGATGTTATTACATCTTCAACAGCCAGCCAGACTAGTGAACAGATGCTGTGTGGATTTGTGCAAAGTCGTGTTCTCACGAAAACCAGTGCTGACATGACAATGTCAGAAGGCTTCTATAAAGGAGTCCGACCACTTCAGCCAAACCCCTTCGATATGTTCTGAAGGCCCCTCAGCCCTTCATTTTGGGATGACCTCAGAATGAACGAAAATTTACGTTTGGAGGATGCATACAGTCATAAGTAAGTAAAACAATCCCTGGCATGACGATATTAGGAGGCTTTTGCATGCAAAGTGCCCACCTCAGCCGAACTCCTTCGATGTGTCCTGAAGGCCCCTCAGCCCTTATTCCGAAATGAGCACGGAATGAACAAAAGACGAACTCCCAACGAAGGTATTCCCGGGAAATCGAAGGGAGACCGGTTCCCAGAGTGCGGGGTCCACTGTAACAACCGCATTCTGCTTCGGGCTGCGAGGTGAGGGGAAGTCAAACTCGAAAGCCATGGAAAGCTATCTTCGCGCTCTAATTTATCTGAATTTTCTCCTTTGGCCAATCGATAAAGAGTTGATGTAGCTTTCGAACGTAACTTTATCGAGCAAGACATGACAGACAGACTGACTGATTGCAGCAGTGAACACCGGGGGCATGGCCCCCGGCGCGAAGCGCCATTCGGGGGGCCTCGCCCCAAAAAGACTGCCGAAACTCTGGTAGCCTGTGCGGGCCACAGCATGCGCAGGGCTAGAAGACTCTGCCACAATCGCACGCGACGAGCTTGTCCAAATGTCACGGAGCTTTACAGGATAAGTGTCTCGAAACCTGGGCTCGCTCAGTCGCAAATGCCGCAAACTTCCAGAATGAAATTCGATTACACTAAGACATTCGTCTAGTGTGTTGTGATCGTTGTGTTCCACTCTCGCCACCCAGGCATCATGACCCAGCAGGTCAGTGTCAGTGCTCTTGTTGGCGCTGCGGATAACCACCCTGAAAGTGGGGAGGGGGGAGAAGATGGGGGAGGAGATGGGGGAAGAAGGAGGTGATTTTTTCCCAACTCGACTCTTTCAAGAGCCCCAGGTTGGACACTGGTTTGTTTCTTGGCGCCAATTAGTTTGAGAAGCCATGAGTCGTCGCTGTCAATGTAACTAAGAGATTCAGTTTGATTGTCCGACAATTTCACAATGTTGATAAGCGGATATGTAAAAATGCGTATAGATCTAAAGGAGTTTCAGTGCGCGGGCGCACGGGCCGCCTTGCGGTTTCAACCAGCAAAATTTATAAAGAACGTTTTGATGTAGTCTTTGCTATTCCGAATTGAGCCAGCTCACCCTTTGTGTGTCATCTGAGTTGGTTGCACTTGCATGTTGCATCGCACAAGCAGCTGTGGTGGCGCCCTTTCAGATTCGCTTCAGCGGGTCGCCAGGATTCCATGAATCGTATTAAAATCCTAAGGAAAAATTGTTTTGTGCTGTCAAATGGAAGGCGGTACTAACGGTCAGCTCCAGGGTTGGAAACAATTTCCGGCTTGACTCCCGAAATTTCTTTCTGGTCAGAGCTTGCAATTGCAACGAGCAGAACACGAACTTCAACCTTTAGCTGTGTTAATTTCGCGTTCACCTAGTACTTGGGCTCGACGCAGATAAAGCAGAACCTGCGAGACGCTATGACGCCAGATGAGTGGAGGAAGCTTATGTGTGCTGCTGTTGCAGACGCTGGCCTGGGTTCTGTTGGGCTGGACGAAGATGACATAGATAAGCTCTGGGCAGCGAAGTACAACACCGCTGACCGTTTGCGGACTGCCAGACGGGAAGGGCTCGTCGACGCGCGTCTGGCGCCTGGCGTGGTGGATGCTATTATAGGTAAATCCTAAGCGCGATTCCTTCTCAACTCATACCTTGCCGAAGAGTCCGCGTTGCGTGTGCTCCGGCTACTATTGGTCGCTCTCAATTTGAAGACAAAACCAACTTAAGCAACCTGTGTGCGCACACATTGAACGGGGTTGGCCATTAGGCTGGTTGTTTTTTGGGGTACATCTGAGGCTGCGGCGCAGACCCTGCCAAATAGCGTGTCGGGAAAATATTTTGCATTAGGGATTGCTTCTGTCCCATACCTGGTATCGTAACCAAAACACGCATAACGAGGGCTTGCCGTGACGGTTGATCTGCTTCAATGATGAA